CTTGGGCACCAACTCCTCCCTAAGGCCTTTGGTGACCTCCCTCGAATGCTCGTTGTCCTTGGAAAATCTATACAACGAATGCTATACTTTACTCATCTGCGTGTGATCCTCCGGGGCTGCCTACCATGGTAAATACTAGGCTTGGCCCAATAGTGGTCATTCAATAAGTACATGCGAACTTAAATGAGGCCCCAGGTGACTCCATGATGAGCTCTCCGGTTGGAGGGTTTGGCACCATGGCGTCTCATACAGGGTGGGGCAGAGGAGGGTTACAGTTGTGAGAACTCGAAACAGTTTCTTCTCGTGTTGTTATTTATTAATTATTTTTCCATCCGAGTAACTGTAACCCTACTTTCGCCCCACCCTGTGTTTCACACCTTGTTCCTGCTTTTGTTAACGGAGCAAGAAAGATATATTGTTTAGCCTTGTTTGTCCTTTCCCAGGAAAGCCAAGAAAAGAGGCAGCTCTTAGAAAGAGAGTTCAAGAGCCAAAACTGGAGTCTGTCCTTCCTGCCCCTCCACACAATGGAGTGTAATTGTTCTTTTAAACTTCCGTGTGTGCAACTGCTCGTTCCAACCCCCGAGGGCAGGACCCACCCACGCCCCACAGTGAGCACCGAAGAAACAAACACTCAGCAAATACCTGCAGGCTGACCTCTACCTGCCTCTCCAAAGCTTCCCAAAGGTCAGCTACTTTGCTGCCCCCGCCTCCTTTATGGCTGCATGGAGAAGTTTGGGGGTGGCCGGCCTCTTAAGGCTCTTCTCTCCCTGTTCTGTTTAAAACCGCTCAGTTCTACTGTAAAACACACACAAGCACCCAGGCTCCCATGAACCCCAATTTCCAATCACCCAGCTGTCATACTTAACTATAAGAAAGTAAGCCTGGTCTCTTTCCACGTGGAAAATCCAAGGACAAAACTATGAAACTAATGACTTAATTAACAAAGTACTAAATGGCACTGACAATAAGCTGAGATGAGAACACACAGCTCCCCAGTCAGTTGTGAGATGTGGGCGTCATATGCAGAGAAGCATCCGAGGTCTGGTCTGGACCTAGAATGAATCAGGTGTCCGTGTGATGGAATAAAAGGAATGTGTTCTGGCTGGAACTGAATGAACAAGTAAGAGTTAAAGATTTTCTGTGCCAAAGGGAAATGAGACCAAGTCTGAGAAAATAAACTACAGAAACCCTTCGACCAATGACCTTCCAATAATATTTACTGCACCGCTGCCCTGTGCCGGACCTCTAACACTGGGGAGAAGGCAGGGAAGAAACCCGACAAGTTAATAAAATAATTCAAATGGGGTAAGATGGAAAAATAAATAAACTAAACCAGGTAATGGGAAGGAGACCCCTGGGGTACAGCGGACACCACATTAGAGGAGGTAAAGTCACTACAGATCATGTGGAAAGGGCAAGACAATAACTCCTTTAGGGCCTGAGGGCCACAGGCCTGAGTCCCGGCCACTTACGCTGCCACCGGCAGGGACGCAGCCACAGGTGACGCATAAACCAACATAAACCAAGTCAGGCGTCAGGTACAGAGCGGGACTAACTTCCTAACTGCCCGAGGGACTAGCCTCCCGCTTCTACCCACGGGAAACGCACACTGTGGCTCCACGGGCCCCACGCCCTTACCCAGTAGGCACAGCGTGTGCATGCCGTTCTGTCTGTTCTTCTTCACTTTGTCAAAGAAGCTCTCCGGTCTCCACGTGTCGGTCCAGAAAACAATGGACACCGTCTCTCCGAACTTATACAGCTAGAAAAACACACACAGCCCTAATTAACGCGGGACAGTGCGCCGAGGGCCAGTTCAGAGGACAACCGAAATAAAAAGCGAGAAGCGGGCTTGGAGGCGGGTGGGTGGGTGGCGGCCAAATCTGTCCCCAAAAGGAAAAGGCAACTAGTTCTCGTGGCCCAGCAGCCGGCATGTTGCCGACACGCCTCGTATCTGTATGTGGTACAGGCTCATAACCAGTTCGTGACTCAGCTAGGTGGCTGCTAAAAATACCCAAACACAAAGCATCTGGTAAGAAACAGACCAACAGAGACCTCTGAGCAGTCGGCGGGGTTCCCAGGGGAACGGAATTATCCTTACCTAACAGGTGAGACCACCGAGGCTCAGGAGGAGCAAATGGCTAGTTAGGAAAGAAGAACCTGGAGCCGAGGTCCGAGGAAGGGCCTTGCGCCCCGGCCCCTCAGTAAGGCCCCCGGCGCCTCCCTCCAGCCCCTTCCTGTGCGCACTGGCCATTTGCAACGATGCTTGTGGCTGCATTCTGACAAGTTCAGCTGTTTGCATTCTACAGAGCATGTTGGGCATCTGGGACCAGATTCTGAAATAGAAGTCTTACCTCTATTAAAAACCCTGGAAGGGAAAACTATTGTTAAGGAAAAGCATATAGGCAACCATCAGAAACACTTTAGAAGGGGCGTCGGTATTTAGGAGCCTGGGGGTAAGTGCCTCGTTCACAGAGAAGGGGACCGAGCGTTGAAACGGGCATTGAGATGCTGGTCACACACAGGCACCAGCCGCACCATTCTCTCCGGACCGCCTGACTCGGGGGATTAAGGGAACCGCCCGCCAGCACCGCTTCCTGGACCCTGATTTAGGGGCTGTAACCATTCCCAGGGCTGCGGTGGCGCAAACTTCTTCAATGAATCCTGGAACATTACGCAAACAGTTTCACCATTTGGATGCCAGTACCTCAAAGAACAGAAGGGCCCGTCTTTGTGTTGCACAACCCAACACCTGCCGGTAAACTGAAAAGCAGCTGCGGCAACATCGCAGTGACGAGAACCGAGGCTGCAGGACCAGGGGTGCCCGGCTTATAGGGGCCTCTGCGCTGTGACCATCTCCCCCCACACACTGCTGACCCAAAGCTAGACGTGAAGGCCATAACCAGAGCTGGCTTCTACAGTAGATCAATGCACGCTTTTGCTTGTTTGTTTTAACCTGGAGTAAGTTACTCAGAAAGCAGTTTATCTAACTTGATGTTGGATAATGGTCTTGTCTATTGAAGACAAAAACTCAACTCAGAACGAGCCATTTCATTACACGTAAAACACTATCTGGTTAGAGTGAGAAGATACACAAGTGAGGCACATGTTAGGCAGCAAGTAACGATGACCTAAGGTGACACGTAGGCCGCGAGCGCTGTCAGGGCAGCACTTCCCTCTGACGGAGCACCTGTGGGGACTTCGGCAGAGAGGGTGTCAGTGGGACTAGAGGAAGGGTAAGACTCAGGCTGTGGCAACTGCGCACTGGGGAAGGCTGAGCTGGCAGGGACAAAGGGACAGAGGTAGGAAATCTTGGGCAATATTTACAATGGCATTGAGCAACTTACCTAAAAATAACTAGTGCCCAACTTGCCTCTAACAAGTATCTCTACCTTACAACATCTTACCATAAACCAGTGGTTCTCAACCTTCTGGCCCTTTAAATACAGTTCCTCATGTTGTGACCCAACCATAAAATTATTTTCGTTGCTCCTTCATAACTGTAATGTTGCTACTGTTATGAATCGTAATTTAAATATCTGATATGCAGGATGGTCTTAGGTGACCCCTGTGAAAGGGTCGTTCGACCGCCAAAGGGGTCTCGACCCACAGGTTGAGAACCGCTGCAACCAACCCGTCCGTTCCAGCTCTACAATGTCCACTCCTGTCCATTCCCACTCAGCAACGTACCTAGAAACTGACTTGATTTTTCTTCCCTGAGAGCCCCCAACACCACTTGCCTGAAAGACGTTAATAGTTTTCTAACTCGTTTCACTGCCACCAATAGTCCCGTCATTTCCAAAGCGCAGATGCTTTGCAAACTCCATTTTATACTTAGGCTTTAATGCTTTCATTATTTTACATTCAAGTAAAAATATTTTGTCACTTTTAAGTTAAAAAATATCTTCTCTGCATATGGCGAAATTAGTAAATTTAACTTGCTAAGACCACTATTAAGCCCCCCACGTATCTCTTATACGTCTGTGCTTTCAAAATCTGATCAGTTAAGTCTGTAAAATGAAAGAAAGCTGAGCTAGCAGACTTGTCAAAAAGCGCCACTAAACCACATAATGGCGAGTTACTAGTTTTCCATACGGAATCCTGGTCTCGGAGTTGGTTTTTTAACCCTCATGCATCTGCTGAGCATTGACACCATGCGGATTTTTGCTGACGCTGGGAAGACTGCACAGGGCCGCACACGAGGTACATAAAACCGAACGACTAGGCGGACAGAAAATGACGAGATTTATATTCTCACACACAAACGAGCGAATCCACACAGGAATTAAATGAAAGGATTATAATTTAAAGCATATAATCCCACAGACAAGATCCGACTGGGGGGAATAAATACATAAATAAATAAGCAATTCAACTCAGCGGATACTTGTTGCATATCAAGGACATGCATGGCACTGTGATTAAGTGCAGTGGGAGGCGGAGTCAGTGACATAGTACACACACACACACACACACACACACACACACACACCACGCAGCACTGTGTCCAGGATGGGTTTACCAGGACTGTTTGAGTAGGAGAATGGCACATTCAGGTCCACAACAAAAAACAACTACAAGTGGAGGAGAATGACGGCTATTAAAACAGGGATTATAGTAAAAGTTCTAGTGGAAATGGAAAGGAAGGAAAAACTTTTTCATATGCCCATTATTTAGCAGGCGGTCAAAAATAATTCCGAAGTGACTCACAGACTAGAGAGCATATTGGACGAGTCCCTGTGAGGCTACATCACTGTGCAGAGCGCGGTCCACGTACTACCTGGCTTAGCCTTTGTGCTGGGTTAGGCTGTCACTTCCACATCAGCCCCGGGACACCAAGAAAGCCCATTTAGTGCTTCTGAAGGACCGGGAGAACCACTCTGAGGTCAACATGCCGGTTATCACAAGTAGAAACCCACCAGAGCAACAGATGACAACAAGTGAGGTCACTTACGCAACAGCCGGAGAAAGTGGAAGTGCCCCATAATGACGAGAACATTTTACAACCTTGCCCTGAAGTCAACCACAACAGAAAACGCAGGTTTGTGTTTTTTTAATCGTTAAAATGTGTTATTGTAATTACAGAGATAGTCAACGCCACATTACGGGCACTGTGTTATTTTCTGCACTACTCTTGATCCCTTTCTCAAAGTGAACTCAGCCTCCTCTACCCCATTCATTCTCTGGCTGCCTGCACAGCGAGCAACGTCCCGTTGAGCAAGCCACCGTAACCTCGGGCTCTTTTTCCGGAGCACTTTAGGTAACTCAGAGCCCGTCAGTGAGTACGAGCGATGCCAACTGCTCCTACCAGTGCCCGCACTTGTCTACATAACATTTCAAAGACTCATCTACAGTAGAGATGGCAAAGGCCAGTTAATCAAACCTGCCCACTCTGCCAGCAGAAGCATGCAAAGGAAGAAATCCTACCACTTCATGCTATTTTAACGATGCGCATTACTAATAATCACAATGCTGTTTGTGTTATGTGATTTCATCCTAAAATCACTTCTTTTGAAAGCAATATTTCTTTTCCAAAAGGGAACTGGATTCAGACAGCGATGTTACCACCCCAAAGCCAATACGACGAAGCTAAGCATGAAATGCAGGTCAATAACATCTTCAAGCACCAGCCACTTGCAAGGCCGCAGCCCTGCTGGGTGTTTTGAGAGACAGGCCAGGAGAACCTGGAGCCCCGCCCTCGTGTTTATCACCTGTAAGGTACTCGTTTGTGATAGTGAACACACACAGCTATTCTGGTCATTCCAAGAAAAGGACAAGATAACATGTAACAAGAAACTCCTAAGAACCAAGATTGTTGGGTTAAAAATAACTAACTTTACACATTAATAACCACAAAGTTGGCTTAAAAGCTTACTATCCGTGGCTTTGGACTCTTTTATAGATTCTTTTAAGAAATGCTGCAGCTCAGGCCCTGATCGCACAGAAAGGAACACTGCGTGCAAAGCGTGGGCCCCACAAGGCAGCCAGGCATTCGGGAGAAGGTGGGGGCTTTTGGAGTCCTGAGCCACTTTAATTAGATTATAGATTATATTTACCTCTGAGGTAGGCGCATATTAATGTAAGATTAAACCTTCCTCTAGTTAATTTCAATGGTCTATTGAGGGGGGGGGGGGAACAGTATAAAAAGTTTTAGTATTAAAAAATTGAGTACACACAAATGTAGCATAAAATAACATCTTACAGTCCATGAAATATAATAATTGTAGAAAAATGACACGTTTTTTAAAAACCACTTCCTCCGTGGTTACCTGTAGACCGCAGCAGCCCACGGCGTTCAGGATGGAGGCGTTGTGGATGACTCGGTACGGGATGCCCAGGCTGGTGGCCCTCAGAATCAGATCGCTGTGCGTCGTGGCCCTGGGATGAGAACAGACCGGTTGGGGTCAAGGAACCAACTGACTTTCTAAGACAGCAAAGCCGTAATATTTCATGCGTCACGTCAACCCGAGGGGCGAGGGCACTGCTCTTCCTCAGTTCCCGGGCTTTCGGCAGGAACAGGGTAAGTCTACACACGCCCTTCGCGGGGCTGACCTGCACCTGTAACACGAGTCAAGCAGCCTGGGCAGCTCCAGGGAACCGGGCAGTTTGCCTTGAGCTTCTGTCCCGTGGACACCTGCACAGACACCTGTGGACGGGTCCCAGCAGCTGAACTCCGGAGCAGCGACTCCCAAACTTTTCAGCGTCAGGGCCCAAATTGTGGCAGAACCAGAGCTATTTCTTGGTCTCTGCTCTATTCTGAGGGGTGTTTTTTGTACTTGAAATCCAAGGTGGCAGGATATACAGAACGTTTGCATAGCCCGTTGATGTTCGTGGTTGTAGTCAGAGCTGCAGCTGATAGAGCTGTAGCTGATAGAATCAGCCAGATTTCACCCCCATCCGGCAGTCACGTTATATATAACTGTTATCCTAATTAGTATGTGTGCGCACATTCTGCCTGTTGCCTTTCCTTTTTTGAGCCGAATCTAATGCTTATAATTAGGTCGATTGTGGTGAAGAGAGAATATACAGGGGTGGGCAAATGTAGGTGTACAGTTGTAATACAAACAACTGTAATAATAAATAACAATGCCAGAATAAACTGTTTTGTGTACTCACCACTGTACGCCTACTTTTGCCCGCCCTGTATATAAATATAAATGCAGAGACTCTGAAATGTGCCACATGGATTCAGACCGCATTACTAAAGAGGCCTTTCCCCTTGAAAGCCCAGGCCTGCTGGGCTGGCAACATTAGCATGTTGGAGACGCTGGGACAGCGCATACCAAGTAGGAAGATCAAGGGCTGGCACCCCAGGAGGCCGTCACAAGCAGATTAACGAATGCCCCCCAGGGAGGCCTGTTTTTAATCATCCACATACAATAAAAACTAGTATGAAAATCAACCATTAATTTGATTTAGAGTAGGCTTTTAAAAAATAACACGGATGGCAGTTGTAAAAAAAATGTTCTTAATAGCACAGCCAACAGAATTTCACGACTTATCACTAGATGAAGGAAGACTAAATTATGGACTTTGGTGAGTGATTTAAATAGATGAGCGGAAAGGAAATCTGGTTTAAAACTGTATCTCTCTCTATCACGAGTTCATTTAAAATGACCAGATGCGGCTGGGGTGCTAGAAGACTTAATGACCTGGCAAAGGCTTTGATTCTGTGGAACTGACATGAATGTGATTAAATAAGCGCCCCTCCCTCCCCAATTTCCGCTATAAAAATGTGACAAAAACCGGTATTTTATCATCATGATTATCTAGATTATATTGCTTTCATGAGAAGGAAAAAAACCAGTTTGAGACATGGGCTCGAACCAGTATACTAAGCACTCCTTCCACACCAGGGCTTGGAAAAAGTTGCTTCATTTATGGTGGCTGGAAAAGTGTGTGTGTGTGTGTGTGTGTGTGTGTGCGCAAAGACAAACATTACTATTTCTGGGCACGTGGCTCTGTCACAATCATACACACACACACACACACACACACGACTGTGGATAGTCACATGCCCAGAAATGGTAATAAATGTGTCTTCATGTGCTTGTCCCTTGGAATTGCTAGGAAGGCAAGTTTAAGAGGAGATCCAAGAATGTTTTGATCAACGGCATCAATAAAATAACGAACATCACGGTGACCAATTTGAATGTGTAGGACTTGGTATGTTTATGGTAAATTTTATTTGATGGTAACATTAGTTTGCAGACATTGTACCACCACGTTTGAGAGAAGTATGGCTGGTGACCTGGAAATTCACTAATATTTGCAATGAGCTGGTAAAAATGATACTCTCATGAACTCCCAGAAGCTATAAACTGGCACCATCCTTTGGAAAACTAATTTGACACGATACGCTTGAAAATGTCCATGTTTAAAACTTTTGACCTTTTTTTTTTCTTGGTATTTTAAACCTACTTTAGGGAATCTATAATAATAAAAGCGTAATATGCTAATTAGACCGGACAGCTGAACGACCTTCTGGACGACCTTCCGGATGAAGCCAGGACTGCGAGGCCCATCACCATCCTTTGGAAAACTAATTTGACACGATACGCTTGAAAATGTCCATGTTTAAAACTTTTGACCTTTTTTTTTTCTTGGTATTTTAAACCTACTTTAGGGAATCTATAATAATAAAAGCGTAATATGCTAATTAGACCGGACAGCTGAACGACCTTCTGGACGACCTTCCGGATGAAGCCAGGGCTGCGAGGCCCGTGCCCCTTGCACGAATTTTGTGCATTGGGCCTCTAGTCTACCAAGAGAAAATAATCTAACCTGTGGGGATGGGAAAGTGGGAGGAGAGAAGAATCCTATACATTAATCCCCACGTGGCAGGCTTTAATTACATTGGAGAAACCAATGGGCTACTGATAATAATGCGGACGCTTACCGGACAGTTAGGAGGTGCCAAGCACTGTCCGAATGCATCACATGAGGTGGAAAATCCAACAACCTACCTGAGGGCGCACGGAAACAGGTGAAGAAAGGTGTATTTTTGCATGTGTACGTCATGAGGGAAAAGGCACCCACATAAGGATAAAAAAACCATGTGATCATTTATGTTATATATTAATTTACTACAGTTTAAAAATATTTTAAAAAGAATTTAAGATTGTACAATTTTCCCTTTTTTAAAATTTTTTTAACCAAATAAGGGGTAAGGGGCTGAAAATGTAAACAAAGGACATGTTTCCTGCTGTCATCCACAAAGAGGCATTTCGGTGCCTTGCTGCATTCTGTTCCCTTCCTGGTTTGCCCATATCATCCACCCAAATGCTAATTCTTCAAGGCCCAAGTAAAATGTATGCATCCCCTCCCGTCCTGTCTCCAACCACTGTATCCCCAACTATTATATCCCAATAGTAATCCAGTGGGTGAATGAAAAATAACCAGAGTGCAGCAATTATTACGTAAATCTGAATCCAGGATTATACCTGGTCCGTCACTGACACAGGACAAATTAATTGCCTAAGAGTCGAAAAAGAGAGGGGCGGGGGGCACTTGCTCCTGAATGAAATAAGGGAAGATTCATGGAAGAGGTGGCACGTGAGCAGGGCTAGCGCTGCTGTATGGTACATCTGAAAGGATCCAAGTCTAATAATGATAGCCAATCCCTGGCACGTCACATGGATACAAATCACTTTCTTTCTGACAGACACATGCACACCATAACTCCATTCTTTTGAAAAACATCCTTGGTGGTGGGCTCACGGTGATTAGATTATCCTTATGTTCCTTAAATGTGGGACATAAATCTTGGGTCACCAGCTGGAGACAAAGAACTCTTCTGTCCGGCTTGACATCAGAGATTGATGATGCCCGACAGACAAGGGGAAGCCCATCTTCTTAGTCATGGGGAGGGACCGGGCTCCCCGTGGGCATGAGAAATTGAAACCTAAGCTTGATAGATGCTGAGTTCAAGGCAAGTAAAGGGACAGCAATATTGTGAAATATGAGATGATTAGAAAGGAAAAGGCCTAGACAAAGGAAGCAGAGATGCTTGCAATTTACCTGTGAAACAAAGAGCAGGTAGGACGCTTGATAACGTAACAAGCTTATTTAATGGTGATAGACTAGCTACATCCCTGGCCTAAGTGACCGCCTAAAAGAACAGCAGAAGCAATGGTACACGCCCCTTTGCATAGGAGCACACCCTTTCTTCATCTACATCAAAGATGTTGAAAGTTCAAACTATATGTGTGTGTTTTTTTTAATATTTTATTGATTTTTTTTTAGAGAGAGGAAAGGAGAGGGATAGTTAGAAACATCGATGAGAGAGAAACATCGATTCAGCTGCCTCCTGCACACTTCCTACTGGGGATGTGCCCGCAACCAAGGTACATGCCCTTGACCGGAATCGAACCTGGGACCCTTCAGTCTGCAGGCCGAGGCTCTATCCACTGAGCCAAACCGGTTAGGGCTCAAACTATACGTTTTTAGACAGAGCCCATGCAAACAGAGTCCCCCATCAAAACCTGGCAGGTGAAAGGTTTTCAATGTAACAAAATGATTCTTACTAATTAAAAAAAAAAAAAAAAAAAGGAAATGCAATTAAAATGCTAATACCTGCTTCGACTTACCCAAATGGATCACCAACCACAAGGAAGGCGACATCGCTGACATCAGCATCCTTTAAAATATTATCTGCTTCTTGCTCCACTTCTTCTCTGTCAGCGAGAATCAATTTCCTTCCATAGAACTCTTCCTGTGGATGTAAGTCCAGTATCAAAATGAGACAGCAGGTGACTATCTCAACACACGCGCACCAATCTTTGTCTGGGCTGGTGTGGATGATTTTGGCAATTATCCAAACAGACCATTGAATACAACTCATCACTGAGCTAGCGGTCTATATCATGTTGTAATTAAACTCTGTCTTTGGGGCTCTCTTAATATCCCCAGAGGAGGCAGACCTCCTAACATCTGGGGCTTTTTGCATTTTAAATCTACCTCTAAATTTGGATCGAGTACACCAGGCAGAATAATTATAAACATACATGGCAGTTTGGGTTTTGTTAAATTTTCCATGGGAAAATCTAGGGGACCTTGGCTAAAATAAAAGGGCACACCAATGAGAAATGAGAGAAAATGAAGACTTAGTTGTTTACAGAAGCAGCAAACATTCCTATCTAATTGCGGGAAAGACTGATTTAAAACTGTCCTAGTTACTGCTAAGAAAGGAAGAGAGGCAGGGGAAAAAGAGAACTCGGAACGTACAGGAAGCCTCCATGCGAAGTGCTCTGTGAACTTATCCCCTGATGTCAACTCAGGAGAACAAACCCAGGTACCGACCTTCCCTGGAGGGCAGTGTGTGTGCCGGTGGGGTAAGGAGAGGGCCTGCTGTGCTGGTGGCCGGGCAGTGGTTACAGCTACTAGGCAAGGTCAGGAGTCTTGTAACGGACTTGCTGGGCAGTGACGTGTAATGCAAACACAGCGAAAGTGGACGAATAGCTACGTAATACTGTTTCTGACATACGGATAAAGCTGGCTAGAATCATGAGGATTCTGGGACGAGGATGATATCCTGAGTCCCACATTCTAAGGACTGCTGTAAGGAAAGAGTGTCTGGTTCTCACTGGCCTGCCAGGGAGATGACTACATGGACGAATGAGTCAGCACCTGAAGATGAAGGCTATCGTTCCAAGAGGGATCTATAAGTATTCCTAATGCTTAACCAGGGTCTGTTTCTCAAATGTGAAAGGAAGGTCCTCTCCTCTGTGATTCTTAGAGATGATGTTCTGGAGGTTCCCAGGGACGATGATGATTTTATGGATGAAAAATGTTCTTTATTTTCGCCGTCACCACACACATCTAGACGGAGCTACTCTTGAACGGGGACCAGAACCTCATCGTTTAAGTCATTTTCTAACATTCAGATTTAGGGGAACAACACACAGGGAAGAAGGGAATAGAGGTCATAGCTGATGGCCTCGGTTTTCTCAGTGCAAAGTCCTTCGCTCTGTCCCTCCAATATCCATCCACAGCATTTCGACGGGACCAGGAGAAAGTGAGCTGGCATCCAGGGGAAGTGGGTTAGGAAGGAAGAGAGGGAACAGAGACACCAGGAGACGGAAGATAGTTTCGTTATGCCCAAGAACAGATATAGCGAACACTGGGCTTTTCTCCTCCACGCTCTGGCTCACAATTATATTTTCTTCAGCAAGAAATGCTCTTGTTCATCCTCTTATTAAATCTTATCTACAATAACAATATGTGTAATAATTCATTTACTGGTACATTGGGCTCACTCTGCGGGCAGGCACTGAAAACGTCTGTCGTACAGGAGTGCATTGAATCTTTTATCTACAATAACAATATGTGTAATAATTCATTTACTAGTACATTGGGCTCACTCTGCGGGTAGGCACTGTTCTGAAAACGTCTGTAGTACAGGAGTGCATTGAATCTCTACCACAGTAGGGGTGGCACTATTTTTTATCCCTTTACAGATAAGAAGAAGAGCACAGGGAAGCTGCATGCCTGCCTGGGGCTCAGAACCTCAGCTGACTGCACAGCTTCACAGGCGCCAAACGGGCACGGCCGGGCGGAGTTCCGTGAGCTCCGCTCTGTGCAGGGAGCTGGGGCCCCGAAGTTAGTGCCCTTTGGCCAGGAGGACGGAGGCACAGCTTCCTCCACTGACCCTGCAGAGCTGCAGAAATACGACCATTTTCTATCTGGACCATGAGGTAAAAGTGACTAAAACAAAACAAAAGGACTAGGAGTGCATTGTTTTGAAACAAAGCTCAAATTCCACTATTCCGTAGTCTGCCCTGACCATCACAGCACAAAGCAACATCTACTCCAGCGGTTCTCAACCTGTGGGTCGCGACCCCTTTGGCGGTCAAACGACCCTTTCACAGGGGTCGCCTAAGACCATCCTGCATATCAGATATTTACATGACGATTCATCACAGTAGCAACATTACAGTTATGAAGTAGCAACGAAAATAATTTTATGGTTGGGTCACAACATGAGGAACTGTATTTAAAGGGCCAGAAGGTTGAGAACCACTGCTCTACTCCAATTGTAATGAACAACTAGTCAGTTATTTAACATGAGACAGCTTCTCCTACCTACTTGGCAAAAGCAAGAATGTGGACTTAAATAAGATCATGTGAGTTTTTCCCAGCAATATAATTTTAGAGTTTCCCCCTCCCACTGCCATCATGCACTACTCCTTAAATCGTCCATTATTATTTATGTCTTCCTGGGTAAAATACAGATATATCATGAGCCACTTGCAAACAAACATCATAGTCTACGTCTCTGTATCATGCACACAGGTACATTATACCAAAGGCATATATTTATCCACAGAAATTGCCTAAAGAAACTCAAGATGTATACACCAAAATCAGATTCTCCATCTCTAGTTGAACCTTGAATACTAGAGAATAGAGAAATAATGCTGCCTGTGAGGCTGTGGCTCTGAGAGGATAGAAGACCTGAAACTCTGTAGGGCACCTTTTTGTTTGGAAGACTTGCTAGACTGGACAGTTGTAAAATTCCCTCCTTCCTCCGATAACCTGCTCATCGACCTTTGCACCTTCATTTACATTGCACTTGGAGTTTGGCGATGAACCTGAACTTACTCCCTCCTCCAAAATTCAACGAGTCCTTTATGACGGCCAGCTGTACACCAGGGCCACTCAACACCCACAGGTGTTTGGGTACAAGCCTTACTGGGATGGGAGCTGGGTATTTAAAGGTAAGACCTCTCTGGATGGACACAGGCGGAAAGGCAATCACCATTCCCTATGGACATCCTTGGCGGGGGAGGCTCTCAGCCTGATTTCTGAATAGATAACCAACCCATGAAGGCTGGATCGGCCCCTCATTCGCCCTCCTCTCAGAAAGGATTTCTTGGCGATCTCCTGAAATGAGGGATTCTGAGAACCATCCCCAGGAGTGAAAATAACCTTCCCTTCCTATTTACTGGAGAAAGCCACAAAATCAGACGTGTAAAGTCCGACAAGACGCCCTTTCATTTCCAGGCCACTTGACTGGAGTACAATCCCCCTCTCCCCACATCCTCAGGGAGCCGGTTCCGCTCGGTGCTGTGATGCAATGGGCTGCGGGGCAGCAACCTTCCCCGCAGCTGGCACCTACCAGGGCTTCCTTCCCTACGGTCAGCACCGAGGTGTAGGCTTCCAGGTACACGCGGCTGCAGCGCCTCACCACTTCCAGGCCCTTGACCGTGATGTCCTTGGCGTCTCCCAGGCCCAAGCCGACCAGGTACAGCATGTCAATGCCCAGGGGGGAGGGAGCCTGCAGGACAGATGGACAAGAGAGACAGGTGTCAGCTACCCGAGGACACCCGACGTCTAGCGATGCGCACGAAGAGGGAAACCAACAGGGCACCTGGCGGCCCCGCGGGCCCCAGGGTGAGGCTGTGGCACCTGACGTCCCGCCTCCTCAACAAGGATCGGGTGGGAATCACTGTTCCCGAGCAGTCCCACCCGCTTCCTCTCCTGCTCCCCGACCAGCAGCAGACCCTCACCCGGCGAGAGCGTCGGCGTCGGGCCCGGTGCCCCCCAACTCGCTCCCTGCAGCCTTTCCTGGGGA